GTGCTTATCGAACACACCAAACCAAAAGATGAAGCAATCCTCTCACTTGCCCATAAAAGGAAAAGCACCCTGAGAATGGGCACCATGGTACCTTGATGCTGTCTCCTGATCACTCAGCAGGAGACCTGGCTAGGAAAATCACCACAGCAACAAACTTGTGAATCTCTGTCCTCAGGCTTGGGCAGAGTGAGGTTTTTCCTGCCTGTGATATCTGTTCATAGCCCTACTCAAAGCTGACACTCTGAAACTGCAGTCCGACCAGACTTTGGCCTAGAATAAGTTCCTGCACCTTGACAGCTCTGTGCCTTGAACAAGTTCTTAGTCTGGTTTTTAATCTCCCCTAACTACCTACAGAGAATGCATTTGTATTTGTTTTCTGCATTTGCTCTCAGTTTGGCCTTCTATACCCCTGTGGCTGCCTTAATTCTTTCTTAGGCTTTTTATAACATATATATAATTGGGCAAAGTGTGACGTCTGTATGACTTGAGTGTTATAGATATTACAAATTAAGACTGGAATAAAAGATCCTGTGATTGTCCAGCTTATGACTACCAGGTGACCCACAAGTATTCAGTGAACTACCAATGATGAAAGCGATATTTCCTATAAATTTATTGTTATTAATAAGTTCTGACATTGTGGAAAGACACCAATGTGTTTGGTTTGTTGATTGAAAAGCTCCCTTACAACACAACCCATAGAAAGAAACCTAAAAATGACAAAGATGATAAAAGAAGCAAGACCACTACAGAGCTCACAATAGAGAAAAGCATGAGTATATTCAAGATAGACAAAAGTAGTTGTAAATTAATCTAACCAAATATTTGAAGAAATAAAGGCTGAAATTTTTCAAAAGTTGATCAAAACTGTAAACCCTCAGATCCAAGAAGCTCAATGAATCCTAAAAAAAGGGGGCGGGGGGCTGGGAATAGAGCTCAGTGCTAGTAGAGCAAGCGCTTAGCATGGACTGAGCCCTGGGTTAAATCCCCAGCACCACAAATTTTTTTTAAAAAAGAAAGAAGATCAATACACATTACAAATATCCAAATAAGCTCACTTAAAAATTGGGATAAAAAGTCAGGCACCATGGTGTGTGCACACCTGTAATCCCAGCAGCTCAGGGAAGCTAAAGAAGGAAAATCACAAGCTCAAAGCCAGCCTTAGCAATTTGGCAACTTGGTGAGATCCCATCTCAAAATTAATTTTTTTTTTTTTTAATCACAAAGCTTCTATTTTTTTTTTTGAATTTTTAATATTTATTTTTTAGTTTTCGGCGGACACAACATCTTTGTTTGTATGTGGTGCTGAGGATCGAACCCGGGCCACACGCATGCCAGGCGAGCGTGCTACCGCTTGAGCCACATCCCCAGCCCAAAATTAAAATTTTTGAAAAAGGGGCTCGAGACATAGTTAAGTAAATATTACCCTTGGTTTCAAATATTTTAAAAAATAAATTTTAAAAAACTGTGATGAAGGGCCTGAGGGTCAGTGGCAGAGTGCTTGCCTAGCACATATGAGGCACTGGGTTCGATCCTCAGCACCACATAAAAATAAATAAATAAAGGTTTAAAAAAAAGGAATGCTTTAAAAAAAACTGATAAAAATCTTAAAAAACAGCACAAGAAAAGACATATTATAAATTGAGAAGCAAAGACAGGAATAATGGCAGACTTCTCATCTGAAACAATGTCCACCAGGAGACAGTGAAGCATATTTACATTCAGCAAAAACATCTTCCCCCCCAAAAAAGGCAAAACAATGATTTTTTCAGACATTCAGAAGCTCAAAGAATTCCTTACCTGCAAACCTGCAGTATAAGAAATGGTGAAGCCCTTCAAGCAGAAAGAAAATAACACCAGATGGAAAACTAGATCCATACAAAAGAATGAAGAGCCCCAGAAATGGACAACATGTGAATAAATATAAAATCATCTTTTTCAAAGGGCATATTGGCACATATGCATTGTAATTCTATCTACTTGGAGGCTAAGGAAGGAGTATTTTAAGTTTGAAGCCAGTCTGGGCAACTAAGGAAGACTCTTCTCAAAATAATAAATAAAGCCAGGCATGGTGAAATATGCCTATAAACCTAGCAACTCAGGAGGCTGAGGAAGGAGGATCACAAGTTTGAGTCTAGCCTCAGCCACTTGGCAAGGGCCTGAGCAACTTGGCAAGATCTTATCTCAAAAAATAAAAAGAACTGGGGATGTGGCTCAGTACTTAAGTGCCCCTGGGTTCAATCCCTGGTATCTAAATAAATATATATATAAAATAAAATAAGTGGCTAGGGATGTAGCTCAGTGGTAGAAAGTCCTTGGGTTCAATACCCAGTACTGCTAAAATAAAAATAAGAGATTATTTTTCTTGCTGGGCACAGTGGTGCATGCCTGTAATCCCAGCAGTTGGGGAGGCTGAGGCAGGAGGATGGCGAGTTCAAAGCAGCCTCAGCAAAAGCAAAGTGCTAAGCAACTCAGTGAGACCCTGCCTCTAAATAAAATAAAGAATAGGGCTGGGGATGTGGCTTAGTGGTTAAGTGCCCCTGAGTTCAATCCCTGGTACCCAGAAAAAAAAAAAAGAAAAAAATTATTTTTTTGTTTATATATTTTAAAAGATAATCAGCTTTTTAAGGAAAAAATTAAAATCATCAACACACAGCTCATGGGGCTGGGGATGTGGCTCAAGCAGTAGCGCGCTCGCCTGGCATGTGTGCGGCCCGGGTTCGATCCTCAGCACCACATACAAACAAAGATGTTGTGTCCGCCGAGAACTAAAATAAATAAATATTTAAAAAAAAAAAAAAAAAACACACAGCTCATAATGAATGAAATGAAATACATGACAATAACACAAAGGCAAAGAGAGATTTTTAAAAATTGAAAAATATTATAAGATTCATATACTGAGCTGAGGATACAGCTCAATTTTACAAGATTTGCCTAACATGCACCCAGTCCTTGATTTCACTCCCCAGCACCAGGGAGAAAAAAAGATTCATGTACTTAAAAGATATACTACTATTTCAAGTAAATTTACATGCTATACAACCCTAAAATAATCACTTAAAAATAATCTAAAATTACAATAAGCCAATAAAGGAAATAAAATACAATCTTAAAAGGAGCAACAGCAGTGGCAGTTGTAGAACAGTAGTTTCCAGACTCGAAAATATCACAAAAAAAATAAGTATAAATTAGAAATCAAAATATATGCTCTACTGGCACAGTGGCACACACCTGTAATCGTAGTGGCTCAGGAGGCTAAAGCAGGATGACGGCAAGTTCAAAGCCAGCCTCAGCAACTTATGGAGTCCCTATCTCCAAATAAAACATGAAAAAGGGCTGGGGATGTAGCTCAGTGGTTAAGCGCCCCTGAATTCAATTCCTAGTACCTCTGCTTTCCAGATACCATGAGCTAAGCAGCCTTCCTTCATCATGCCCCTCCACCATGATGTTCTGCCTCACCCAGGGCCCAGAGCAATGGAGTGGCTAAACAATCATGGACTAAATCTCTAAAATGGAAGAATCACTGCATGGAGTTTCAAGTGATCTGTTATTTTGAATACACGAAATTTTGGGAGCAAAACTACCAACCAGTGCTGCCAAGAGACATTCTGAACACTGGAGTGCAAATGGTGCATGAGATGCACAGTTTAATTTTGTTTTATTCGATTTTAAAGGAAACAAGGGGACTTGATAGTTATCTGTATCTATAATATATGCTTTGTGAACTCACATATTGTAAATCAATAGAGAGGGTTGAATATAATAATGTATTCAAGTTGGTATTAACTCAAAAAACAAAAAATTAATTTTAAAATGTGATGAATGAAAAGCTGAACATAGGGTTGTTACCCTCTTTTGGCCAAGTAAAAACTTACAAAAACATAATTACTATTTTACTATCCCCTTTAATTCGTAAAGGAAAGGGCACTTTAAAATTAAAGCAGCAGAAAAACTAACCACTAAATAAAATACCAAACACTCGACTTTTTTTTTTCTCTCATTTTCCCAAGGTCTGGTGGTTTGGGACATAATATTAGAATATCATAGTTATGCCCTTCATTTTTATTTGGAGACAGAGTTGCGTTAAGCTGCTGAGGGTCTCCCTTAATTGCTGAGGCTGGCCTGATTCCTCCTTTCTAAACCTACTGAATCGCTAGAATCTCAGACGGGTGCCACCACACCCAACAAAATTGTATTTTCTTAACCAATGCCACCCAGCTCTGGTTCAGTGGTTCCAGTATTTATACTCCATTAACGGGGTACCTTCTATATTTAAGAAAAGTATGAGCACCAATGTTAAAAAAACAAACTACCTGTAATTTGATACTATTGAGTTGAAGATAGCAAAGTTTTCACTTGTGCAAAGTAACCTAGTAAAAACGGATCCCAAGTTTTCACCAGCTCGCAGGAGACGCAAAGATGCGACAAGGAACTGGGAGAATTACCTCAACGTTGTCGGTCAGACCGTACTCAGAGTGAGGGTTTTCTGCAACCTAGAAAACAAAACACAGGTCACAGAGACATCAGCCGCCGTTTCCCGCTGCCTCCCTGGCATACCCGAATCCAGCGCCTCAGGTACCTGCGTCTGTCCTTCCAGCATCTGCTCTGGCTCCATGGTGGACCCTGCAAACCACAGTCCCGGGATATCAGCCTAGGAAAACGAGAAGAGCACCAGTTACCCGGGAAACTTTAACACGAAGACGCCAGGATGGAGTCCAGCCCAGTCCGCGACCCCGCCCCTCACCCCCACCTGGGCGCGCGAACACCCGCAGCAGAAGAGGAGCAGGATGGGACAGTCCACGACTGGACGCCCGCATCAAGTCAAGAAGATCCGAGGCAGTCCCAGGTACTTGGAAAAAGTGGGCAAGGAACGAAAGAGAGCTAATTACCCGCGCCCAAGCTGTTGGTTCCTAAAAGGTCTGCACGGCGCCACCAACTCCCAGCACGAACCGCTCCGGCCGTAAGTGACGAATGTCGCACGACTGCGCCTGCGCAGAGCTTCCCGGCGGGCTTGGACTGGGAGGCACCGGGACCCGCCGGCTCTGAGGGTGTTGTCTGCAGAGGTGCGGGCCGCGATCTGTCCTCTGGGACTGCGAGAGTGAGTCAACCTGCGAACGCAAGGCGACCAAGTGACTTGCCCAGTTCCCCAGGGGTCTTTGGTTCTGCCTGAAATCGTCTGTCCTGGAGGAACCGAAATCACTTACTCTGCTTCTTCCTATAAGATCACAGGCCCCGGTGGGCACGGTGGCGCACGCCCGTTACCCCCGGGGCTCGGCTGGCTGAAGCAGAAGGATCGCAAGGTCTGGGCCATCTCAAGGTCTGGGCCGGCCTCGGCAACTTAGCCAGACCCAGTCTCTAAATAAAAAGGACTGGAATGTAGCTCAGTGGTAAAGCACCTCTGGATTCAATTCCCGGTACCGAAAAAAAAAAAGAAAGAAAGAAACAGACACATGCTGAATGATCCACCACATATTGTCAGTGGTTTACTTTAAAAACCAAAGGCAGGAGAAGAAGCAATGTTTAGGCATTTCGAAGCCAGTTTTCATGAAAGCCCATAAATTGTGGAGATGAGTTGTTAATGTTATCTTATATTTGTATCGAGATTAGCACGACGCCTGCTCGGCAAGGTGATGCACGACAGGAATCCCAGCAGAGGCTCAGGAGGATGAGTCACGAGGATCGCGAGTTCAAAGCCAGCCTCAGCAACTTTGTGAGGTCCTGAAAGCAACTCAGCTAGACCCTGTCTAAATAAAATATAAAAAGGGCAGGGGATGTAGCTCACTCGTTAAGCACCACTGGGTTCAATTACTGGTACCAAGATTTAAAAGGAAAAAGAAAATAGTTTTCCAAGCCACAGTACTGTTGATACCATTGTTTGAGGGGTGTTTTGTTGGGGGAGGGGGGTGCTTTTTTGGTTTTTTTTTTTGTTGTTGTTTTTTTAATTGTAAAAGCTAGGTGGGTGCAGTGGCGCATGCCTGCAATTCCAGTGGCTCTGGAGGCTGACGCAGGAAGATCTCAAGTTCAAAGCCAGCCTCAGCAACTTAGCAAGGCACTTAGCAACTCAGTGAGAGCCTGTCCCTAAATAACGTATAAAACAGGGCTGGGGATGTGACTCAGTGGTTGAGCACCCGGGTTCAATCCTCAGTACCAAAAAAAAAAAAAATTTGCAAAAGGTAACTGGGCATGGTGGTGCAGGCCAGTAATTCCCCTTCTCTCAGGGGAATCACAACTTCCATTTAACAAGACCCTGTCTGAGCAATTAACAAGACTCTGTCTCAAAATTTAATTTTTTTTTTTAAGAGGCTAGGGATGTAGCCTCATGGGTTCAGTCCCCAGTACCACATTTAAAAAAAATAAAAAACAAATGACAATCAGCCTCCTACACACAATTTTTATATAGTAAACAAGAATCCAGTAAATAGGATTGTTTTATTTATTTTTTTTTATCTTAATTTTTTTTTTAGAGAATTTTAATATTTATTTTTTAGTTTTCTGCGGACACAACATCTTTATTTGTACGTGGTGCTGAGGATCCAACCCGGGCCGCATGCATGCCAGCCGAGCGCACTACCGCTTGAGCCACATCCCCAGCCCCAATAGGATTGTTTTAAATCCACTAAATTTCATTTAAGGTAAATATAAAGTAATAGTAACTTCCCATTTGCATTTGCACTTTTTCATATAAAACTTTGACTATTTAGATATTAATTGTGGCATATTAATGTGATGGAATATAAACCATTCAAAGTAAAAAGGAGCTGGGTGTGGTGGTGCTTCCCTGAAATCCTAGCTCCTCAGAAAGCAGGTGGATTGCAAGTTAGAGTCCAGCCTGAGCAACTTAACAGGATCCTCCCTGAAAGTAAAAGAATAAATAAAGGGCAGGGAATATAGTTCAGTGGTAAAACACCCCTGTTCAATCCCCAGTACAGAGGGGGAAAAAAAGTAAAAATGATGAATACTTATAGAGAAGTACTTAAGTTTGGTGGGTTTTTTTGTTTTTGTTTTTGTTTTTGGAGGGGGGGTGTTTACCAGGGATTGTACTCAGGGGCACTCAACCACCGAGCTACATTCCCAGCCCTCTTTTTGTATTTTATTTAGAGAGAGGGTCTCACTGAGTTACTTAGGGCCTGGCTTAAATTGCTGAGGCTGACTTTGAACTCTCTTTCCTCCTGCCTCAACCTCCTGAGCCACTGGGATTACAGGCATACACCACTGCCCAGCTTAAGTATTTCTAAAAGTACACTATAACTTAATTTTGCTAAATACTACATGGATAAAGATCTGAAGTAAATAGAATTTCTTTAGGAATTAGACTTGTGGGTAGATTTTTTTAAAGTTTTACACTATATACTTGATAATTATTAGGTGGAGGTGGCTGAGGAACAAAGCACCAAGTAACCCCTGGCCGCCAAAGAACCACCATGCCTGACCTTACAATAATTACTACTGTGATTGGTGATGGCTCTGTGAGGATTTTACAAATAAGATTGGTGCAGGGCTGGGGTTGTAGCTCAGTGGTTGAGCGCTTATCTCGCATGCGTGAGGCACTGGGTTCAATCTTCAGCACCACACAAAAAATATATAAATAAATAAAACGAGATATCGTGTCCAGGGCTGGGGATGTGGCTCAAGCGGTAGCGCACTCGCCTGGCACGCATGCGGCCCAGGGTTCGAGCCTCAGCACCACATACAAACAAAGATGTTGTGTCCGCCGAAAACTAAAAAATAAATATTAAAAATTCTAAAAAAAAAAAAAAGAGAGAGAGATTGTGTCCATCTACAACTAAAAAATAATGTTTAGAAAAAAAGATTGGTGCAAAGATGTGGATGCACACGTGTAGGATAAATTAACTAGTACATATATTAACTCTAATAAAGAATAAATGCTTTTTCTGGAGTGAGAAATAAAAACTAGTACTGTAAGGTCCTTGCTTAGCATCTGGACAGCCATCTTAAGTGACAGCCACCATTTTAAGAAAAATTTTGCTTTCTCGCCCAAGGCCTTTCTAAGAAAGGCTCACCACTCCCTCATACCAACTCCATCCTTAACAGCCCACATTAGGACCCACAGGGCTCTAATCCCTGAGCCTGCCCCATAAAAGTCTCAGAACTCAAACCTGTATTGTTTTCTCTCCATCTAAGGAGAGATGTGCCTTTATTTGTCAGCTCGGACAAACTCTCACGTGTATCTCTGTCTGGTCTCCGCCTTTCAGTTCTCACTTGCCCATCTCCCGGTTCCTCGCTTTTCTTTCAAGTACCACTTAAAAGTGGTTGAGAAAACTTGAGAGAAGAGTTTTGTGCATTTCATACTATACATCCATATACTTCCCCACAAGTAGTAGGCACTTTATAAACATTTCCAAATTTTAGGAAGCAACTGAGAAGTACTAATCTACATTTTCCAAGTACTGACAGTGAAAAGTTGGAAACTAGACTGCAAGTTTGTTCAGGGCAGGGACCATGTCTTAGAAATCCTTGTACTTCATGTGGGGCCTGCTGCATCATAGTTGAATAATATGTGTTAACTCGGCTAGAGCTGGGGCTCAGTGGTGGAGTGCTCACCAAGTATGTGTGAGGCACTGCATTCAGTCCTCAGCACCACATAAAAATAAATAAATAAATAAAGGTATTGTATCCATCTACAACTAAAAATATATTTTAAAAAATATGTGTTAACTTGAGTTGCTATAAAATTTAATATTTATACACTGACACTACTAAAGCAAAAAAATAGAATATGAAAATGTTTACTGAAGGGAGCAATGCGAATAATTATCAAGCAGATTTCTCTCAATCTCAGATATGAATTAGTGGTCTACAAAAGAAAAACAAAAAGCTTCACAAAAGTTTTTACATTTAAAGTTAAAAGGCAGGCATGATGGCACACACCAGTTGACCAAAGTACTGGGGAGGCTGAGGCAGGAGGATTGTTTGAGCCCAGGAGTACAAGGTCAACCTGGAGAACACAACCTCAAAACAGGAAGGAAAAAAAAAAAACATAGTCAATAAAAAAATTCAGATGGCAAGTCAGAGCAACAGAGAAATGAATTTTTTTAAATGTCAGGTAGAAGCCGGCAGCAGTGGTGAATGCTATAATTCCAGCAATTCAGGAGGGTAAGGAAAGAGGATCTTGAGTCCAAGGCCAACTTCAGCAATTAGCAAGGCCCTAAGCAAGTCAGCAAAACCTTGCTCTAAATAAAATATTAAAAAGGGATGGGAATGTGGTGTGGTTCAATGATTAAGCCCCCTGGATTCAATCACTGGTACCAAAAAAAAAAAAAAAGAAGAAGAAGAAGAAGGGGCTGGGATTGTGGCTCAGCGGTAGAGTGCTCACCTACCACAAGTGGGATCCAGGTTCGATCCTCAGCACCACATGGTGTTGTGTTCATCTACACCTAAAAAAATAAATATTAAAAAAGGAAGAAGAAAAAAGAAAAAAAAGTCAGAAACTATGTAATAGTATAAAATAATTATAATTATGTTAGAAAGTATAAAGGTGACTAAAAATACTGCCGATAACTGAAGTTCGATATGAAGAATCTAGAGAGGATGACTTTGGGAACCATGATTATAACAGAAATTTGCAGCAATGTGTATTGTCTAGAGAGAGGTAAATTAAAAGAATAAGAATGACATGTAAGTCCTATGTGGACTTGTGGTACCACACTTTTCTCAGTAGTGAGATATCTGCTTCCAACATCTTCTACTATGAACCTCATTTTGTCTTAATTTTTTAATGATTAAACACAATTTAATTTTGATCTCAACTAATTAGAACAAATAAAAAAATATTTTTAAAAAAATTTGAGTACATAAGCAAAGCTCTTAACTGTATCATCTTTGTATTTAATTCTTACATTTGATATTTGTTTCAAAAGAGTTTATAGAGTGCTAGGGCTGTTGCTCAATGGCAGAGCACTTGCCTAGAATGCTCGAGCCACTGGATTCGATTCTCAGCACCATATAAAAATACAAATAAAATAAAGGCATTCTGTCCACTTACAACACACACAAAAAAAGAGTTTATAGAGAAGACAATCATTAGCACCAAAATAATATTTTCTAGCCTTTCTTGGAGATTCAAGGTGATAGTAATTCTAGATTTCAGAACCAAAGAATTCTAGACCCTAGAATAATAAAAACAACTGTGCTTGACCTCCTTTTCACAAACTTGAAGTATATTCAATTTATTATAATTTATTAGGCAGACAATGCCTATTTAAGAATAACATAATTTATGCAGTGGAGAAACACATGATTTGAAATTACATGAATATTATAACCGGGTTCCTCCACTTATTTTCCATGTTAAGTTAAGCAAAGAGTTTAACTCTTCTGAGTTTCAGGTTTTCGCACATGTGTAGGATAATACCTACCTCATAGGAAGGATCTAATGAGGTAAGGTAGATGAAACTTCTTTTTTACTCTAAACTGAAATTATTTAATTTACCTGAAGTATATATGTAAGTGAAAGTAATTCTATTTTATGTTTGCCTAATCACTTAATAATCATAATAGTGTTTTCCCTTTTTTGATGTTGTTGCTGTTTAAAGTAATCTGCAAGAACTTGACACAGCACATACACATACACACACAACACTTATTTGCATAGAAATATATAAAATTTATTGAGTGTACAAAGGCCTCTGAACACAGTTTGTGGAGAGAAGCACCCAACCATCTCTGAAGAAGAACTAGAAATACATGTTCCAGAATTGATAAATCACTTTCCAAAGAAAATCTTTTGGTGGCAAATAAGGGAAAGTCACCACTCCATAGTGGAGTTCCTTTGTCTACTATTAAATTAAACCCTATGCCCAAGCACCTATCCCCTATGCCGATCTTTAAAATTTGTATGTCAAAGAACATATCAAAAGGGTTTTTTAGGGCTGGGGTTGTAGCTCAGTGGTAAAGTGCTTGTCTAGCATGTGTGAGGCACTGAATTTGATCCTCAGCACCACATGAAAATAAATAAAATAAAAGTCTATCAACAAATAAAAAAGAATTTTTTAAAATGGGCTTTTTAAAGCCAGGTGCACTGGTCCGCATCTGTAATCCCACCACTCAGGAGGCTAAGGCAGGAAGATCATAAGTTCAAGTCCAGCCTCAGCAATTTAGTGAGGCTAAATTCAGCAACTTAGCAAAACCCTGTCTCAAAAATTAAAAGGACAGGGCTGGGGTTGTGGCTCAGTGATAGCGCACTTGCCTAGCAAGGTGGGAGGCCCTGAGTTTGATCCTCAGCACCAAATAAAAATAAATAAAATAAAAGTATTGTGTCCAACTACAACTAAAAAATATAATTAAAAAAATTAAAAGGGCTAGGGATGTAGGTTAGTGGTAAAAAGCTTCTGGATCCACCCCCCCCCCAGTACCAAAAGGAGGGTACTTTTAAAAAATATGAATGCATGCAGTGAATTCTTTTGACTTTTATAATATAATGTTAGCAATGACAATAATAGATATCAATGAAAAGTCTAATTTTGCCATTTTTTAAAATATTTATTTTAGTCATAGTTTGACACAATACCTTTATTTTGTTTATTTATTTTTATGTGATGCTAAGGATCAAACCCAGTGCCTCGAATGTGCTAGGCAAGTGCTTTACCCCTGAGCTACAATCACAGCACATAATTTCGCCATTTTCAATCCCTAGATTATCAATCTTTTTTTAACTTGTTTTTAAATTTTTTTTTAGTTGGAGATAGACACAATCCCTTCATCTTATTTATTTATTTTTATGCGGTGCTGAGGATTGAACCCAGGCCTCACACATGCTAGGCAAGCTCTTTACCACTGAGCCACATCCCTGGCCCTAGATTATCAATCTTTTCTGTCATTTGTCATATAAGGTTATATTTAGATTTTTTTCTGAAATTTCCTAAATGATGTTACTTTTTTTAAAATTATATTTTTGTAGTTGTGGACAGCATACCTTTATTTTATTTATTTATTTTTATGCGGTACTGAGGACTGAACCCAACTCCTCACATATGCTAGGCAAGTGCTCTACCACTGAGCCACATCCCTGGCCCTCAATTATCAATCTTTTCTGTCACTCCTCATATAAGATTATATTTAGATTTTTTTCTGAAATTTCCTAAATGATGTTACATTTTTAAAAGTATATTTTTGTAGTTGTGTATGGACAGCATAACTTTATTCTATTTGTTTATTTTTATGCGGTGCTGAGGATCAAACCCTGCGCCTCACATATGCTAGGCAAGCATTCTGCTGCTGAACACAATAACCAGGAGGTGACAAGCAACTTGAAGGTTGAAGCGGGAACTCTTTATTGCGGGAGAAAACTCAACAGGAACTGAGTGGGCACCCAAGGTAGTGGGAGCCGCTTTATTGCAGGACAGCAAAGGTATATATACCTAACTGATTACACACAGCTTGACTCAATTAGCATCATCTAGATACAGCAGTCAGCCAGTAAGAAATCCCACCATCTTAATGGCTCAGTGGCGTTGCCTCACAAATCACTCCTCCTGGCAAACTGCCAGGCGCCATCTTAACTTGGTTGCAGCCCTCAACACTCTGCCACAAAGCTACAGCCCCATCCCTGATGTTCCATTCTTTTTTACTTTCCCAATATTTTCTTTAGTTGTAGGTAGACACAATACCTTTATTTTATTTATTTGTATGTGGTGCTGAGGATCCAATGAAGTGCCTCACATATGCTAGAAGAGTACTCCCCACTGCTGAGCCACAACCCCAGCCCATGCATGATGTTCCATTGTTAAATGTATTCATTTTATGCTTTAGATTTTCTTTCTGGAATCCAAATGACTGTTACTATCACTTGAATTAATGCTTATAAATGAATTGGTCATGTGTTATTTGGATAGGTACAATATATAACTTTGATTTTTTTTAAGATGCCCAGAATCATTTCATGCTACTTTTTTTTTGTTGTTGTTGTTGTTTTGTTTTGTTGTTGTTGTTTTGCTATTTGTTTTGGTACTGAGGATTGAACCCAGGGCACTTTATCACTCAGCTACATTTCCAGGCCTTTTTATTTTTTATTTTGAAACAGGGTCTTACTGAGTTGCTGAGGCTGTTCTGAAATTTATAACCCTCCTGCAGTCATTATGCCCAAAAGATTTGGGGGAGTTTTAAATAAACAGAAATTACAAACCTTGCCCTCATGAACTTGTATTCTAGTTCAGCTAGATCAGATATATACATATGATACATTGAAATAATGATAATAGATAACTAAGATGAATGCTCTCCTTCATAAATTCTGAAGGCATTCAGGTGAGGCTAAGACCAACATAAGTAGGTATTTTTAGAATAGTATTGACTAAATAAGAATGTAAGCAATGTTTCAATGGAAAAGGCTTTTTTTTTTTTTTTTTTTTGGCACTGGGTATTGAAGCAGAGGTACTTTTGCACTGAGCTGCATGCCCAGCCCTTTTTGTTTTTATTTTCAGACAATGTCTTTGGGCCTTGCTAAATTGCTGAGGCTGTCTTTGAACTTGTGATCCTCCTATCTCAGTCTCCCAAGTCATACTCCATCATGCCCAGCCAGAAAATCCAGTAAGGGAGAACTGTGGGCCACAATACAGACTGCAACGCTAATCAAGTAAGCAAGTGGAGAAATGTGAGTATTACAAAAGATGAAGAGGGTCTCAAGACAAAAAAGACCTTCTGAAATCACAGCAGTTGGTATCAACTAATTTTGAAAACAGGTAACCCACCAGGCACAGTAGTACAGCCTTTAATCCCAGCTGTTTGGGTGGCTGAGGCAAAAGGATCAAGGGTTCCAGAAGAGCCTGGGCAACTTAGCAAAACCTTGTTTCAAAATAAAAAATGGAGTGTGGATGTAGGTCAGTGGTTAGAGTGTCACTGGGTTCAATCTGTTTTTCATGACAACTTCTTGTCCCAACATTTTTTCAGCTCTGGAGGGTAAGCTTTACTCATGTAGTCTACTCAGCAGGCTCAGAGATGCTTTCAAACGCAGTTGGTGGCCTCCTTCTGGATATCTTTTCTTTCTTTCTTTTTTTTTTTTTTTTGATGCTGGGGATTGAACCCAGGACCTTGTGTATGCAAGGCAAACCCTTTACCAAGTGAGCTACATCCCTAGCCCTGAATATCATTTTTTAATGAAGCACCTAATCAAGATTATTTTAAATATATTTTTTAAATATATTTTTTTAGTTGTAGTTGGACATTTATTTATTTATTTTTATATGGTGCTGAGGATCGAACCCAGTGCCTTGCACATGCTAGATGAGCGCTCTACTGCTGAGCCACAACCCCAGCACCAGAAGTACCTAATCAAGATTTTGACCTATTTTTGAGTAGTCTGCATTTTCATATTGACATATAGGAGTCTTTTAAATATTCTAAATGTAAATCTTTTATTGGATACTACACTATGACTTCCCTTATCACACTTTTAGCAGTGTCTTTAAAAAAATTTTTTTTAGTTGCAGATGGACACAATAACTTTATTTTATTTATTTATTTTTATGTAGCACTGAGGATTGAACCCAGTGTCTCACACTTGCTAGGCAAGCTCTCTACCACTGAGCTATAACCTCGGCCCTAGCAGCATCTTTTGATGAATAAAATTTTCTTATTTTATTGTAGTATAATAGTATCATCTATATTCTTTATGATTGATTATTATGTACATTATTAAAGAAATATTTGCTTACCACAATGTCATATCTTCTTTAGTTTTCTTCTAAACCTTTATTATTTGTTCACCTTTATAGTTATTATCCATTTGGAATTAATTTTTACATTAGATAAAGATATAAAGAGGCATGGATAAAATTTTTCTTATGGTTATCTAATTGCTCTAACACATTTTATTGTATCTCTTTAAAAATAGGTTCATTAACCATATTTTAGGTCATTCTTAATTTCTCCCAGTAATGTTTTGTAGTTTCTATTGTAGAGTCTTGTGTGATTTTTGTTAGACCTATTTGGATTTTTATGCTATTAAAATGATTTATTTTATTTTATATTATTTTTGATACTGGGGATTGAACCCAGGGTACTTTACCACTGAGCTATGTCCCCAGCCCTTTATATATTTTTAAATATATAAAGGGCTGGGGACTTTATATATATATATATATACATATATATATATGTATATATATATATATTTATTTATTTATTTATTTATTTATTTTTATGTGGTGCTGAAGATCAAATCCAGAGCCTCGCACATGTGAGGTGAGTGCTCTACCACTGAGCCACAACCCCAGTCCTGCCTTTAAATATACTTTTTAATATTTATTTTTTAGCTGTAGTTGGGCACAATATCTTTATTTTATTTATTTATTTTTATGTGGTGCTGAGGATCAAACCCAGGGTCTCACATGTGCTAGATGAGTGCTCTACCACTGAGCCATAACCCCAGCCCCGCCTTTATATTTTTATTTTGAGGCAGGGTTGCCCAAGCTGGCCTTAAACTTGCGATCTTCCTGCCCCAGCCTTCCAAGTAGCTGATATTGTAGGCGTGTGCCATGAGTCCAGCTATTTTATTTTTTAACGTATTTTTAACGGACACCTAAGAATTACATATATTTATGGGGTGCCATGGGATGTTTCAATGAATGTATACATGCTATTATAATATTCAAATCATCTTTTTGAAAATTTATAATTTTTGTGTTGAAAACATTCAAAATCCTTTCTTCTGGCTCTTTTGAAATATATAGTTATGTTATCTATAGTCACTCTACTGTGCAATAGAATAACAGAATTTATTTCTTCTAACTAACTGTAACTTAGAACCCATTATCTATCTTTCCCCCACCTTTCCCTTTCCCTCCTCTACTTTTCACATGGAGTATATATTCTCTGTCCACCATAAGTATAGAAATATAACATCAGATTTATATTCCCAAATATCTTATTTAGAGTATTCACTGTATATATCCTCTGACAATCCACTCTGCCATTCTAGATTAAAACTCTGTATTTCTGGGCATGGTGGTACAAGCCTGTAATCCCAGCTATTACCTGAGTAGCTGAGATAGGAAGATTCCAAGTTCAATGCCAGTTTGGGCAACTTAGTGAGACCCTGTCTCTTAAAAAAAAAAAATTAAAAGGACTGGGAATGTAGCTCATTTGTGGAGTCCTTGCATAAAAGGAAAAAAGTCTGTGTTAACTGAATCTGCTATGCTTGCACAAGGTTATTCACTTTCACTGAAATACCAAATACTGTGCAGTGAATCTCAAACTGTAACTCACAGTTTTGTTTTGGGTTGGTTGATTTTTAAATTTTGAGCCAATATCGTATAGCCAACAGGTTTCACATAAAAATTGAGAATTTTGGTTTCTTGACGATTTTAACACTTTTTTTTTTATCTGCTGCTTTTGTGTTGACAAGGATCAAACCCAGGGCCTCATACATGCCAGGCATGTGCTCTACTACTGAGCCACATCCTCAGCCATTTTTATACTTTATTTGTTTAGAGACAGGGTTTCACGAAATTGCTTAGGGCCTCACGAAATTGCTGAGGCTGGCTTTGAACAATCCTCCTGAGTCAGCCTCCCAAGCCGCTGAGATTACAGGTGTGTGCCACCATGCTCCACTCTTTTTTTTTTTTTTTCATTTTTAAAGACAGGGATCTGCTATATTTTCCAGGCTGGTCTCAAACTCTAGGGTTCAAGCGATGCTCCTGCCTCTTTCCTACAAATTTTTGAACTACAGATATACACCATCAAGCCCAGCTTGGAAATTTTTTAAATGTGACATTAGGCCCCACATTTGTGAAAAGCAATGATTAGCTAGAGCTAAGTAACAGCTCTTTTGTTTAATTAGGGGATGCTATTCTTTAGTTTGTCAGTTGCAATCATGCACATAATATATGCTGTTTTGGTACAGAGGATTGAAGAACACACTCTACCACTAAATTACACCCCTGGCCCACAATTTTTTTTTTTTTTTTTTTGGTACTGGAGATTGAACCCAGGGGAGGTTAAGGACTGAGCCACATCCCCAGCCCTTTCTTTTTCTTTCTTCATTAATCTCTCTCTCTCTCTCTCTCTCTCTCTCTCTCTCTCTCTCTCTCTCTCTCTCACCTCCGTTCCTGGCATACCTATTTTTGTTTGTTTTCTTAGTTATTGATACAACAAGTTCCTTTGAACCCAGTTCATATTCCCAGCTCAGCCAGCTGCTGATAAGGGTCTTGCTGAGTTACTTATGGCCTCAATATGAGGCTGAGGCTGGCTTTGTACTTGCAATCCTCCTAGCTCAGCCTCCTGAGCCACCAGGATAACAGGGATGTGCCACTGTGTCTGGTTCACATTTACATTTTTTTCTAAATAGTTGGACATAATACCTTATTTTGTTTATTTTTATGTGGTGCGTAGGATCGTACCCAGAGCCTGGCAAGTGCTAGACGAGGGCTCTACTGCTGAGCCACATTCCCAGCCCCATATTTACATTTTTGAATGTCTCAATACCCATATATGGAACTCAAATACATAATATGTCACTTTACTTTTGCTTTTTGAGATTTTGATGACTGTATTAGATCAATGGATCCCCTCGTGTAATCCTGGCATCGTACTCATTGTCTAGTATGTGCCTATGCTTAATATGTTGAATGAATAAATGAGTAACGTGGACTAAATTCAAGGAAATGATTAGTTGTTCACAATTAAGTTTTTGTTCATTAACATACCTATTGGGTAATAATCTCTCAATTGTCACTATCCTCCTTTCAATCCTCACCTCCAGTCATGTCATTCAATTTGCCTCTCATAGGCTTTCTGCCTTTTTCAAAATCAGTTATATTCTTGGCTCTAAGTGTGCCCTTTTACTTTTCTTTTCTTTTTTGATTGAAAAGAGGTCTTTAATAGCTGATATCGGTCTCTACTTCAAATAGTCTAGTAACTCTAAATCTGAGGTTTGTGAGTTCCTTAAAAGGCAAATAGGGCTGAAATATCAAAAATCTATTTGCTGGTAGGCATTCTGGTAAATAAATTAAGAGGATAAAGTGACAAAGGGCTGGCTGTCCTTAGTTACTATAATGCTTGGCTCCTTTTTTTTTTTTTACCTGGTGAAACTGTTCCAGATCCCATCCAAGATTAAGTGTCCTGAAAGTTCTTACAATCTGGAAACTAGGAGACAGTCACACTGTAAACTATGTATCCAAGAAAGTTAGCTTCTTCAATTCTGAAGGTTATAAGGCCAACGTAATATCAAGGCACAAACTTTCTTGAGACAAATTTAGGAAGATGTTAACTCACAAAATGATTTTGACACTGAGATATAATTCCAATGAACAGAAGATAAGAATTGGAAGTACTAAATAATGAGATCCCAATAGAGTCAGAAATTTGGAATGGCCCCGCAGGTGGAAAAGACAAAAACAAAATATACTGATCCCTGTTATGTTGCAAACATTATGTTGGGGGTTTTACATGTATTCTTTCATCTTGTAATTTAATTCTTACTACACTCATTTTACAGATCACTAGTTAAATAACTTTCTCCATATTATACAACTAATAAGTGGTGAGCCAGGTGTGACATGTCTGTAATCCCAGCTACTCAAGAGGATAAGGCATGAGGATCACAAGTTTGAGGCTATCCTCAGCAATTTAGCAAGGCCGTAAGCAACTTAGTGA